CACAGCAATAACTTGTACACAAATTTTATGTCACAAACTTCTATTACTATCTAAAAATTATAAACAGTTCAATATAGAATTATCTCTATATAAAAATATAAATATGAAACTAATTTACTGTACATCAAATCCAAGAAAGTAGTCAAACCCAAAATAACCAAAAAGACTATGGAACCCAAGAATTACAGCACCTTTAGAAGTATTTTAAAAAAAGAGCAAGGAGAAAAAATTGCTCCCTACGTTTTTAAAATCAATGATAACCAAACTCTCCAGGAATATCTAGATAAAGATAAAATACTTAGTAAATTTACCAATCTTTAAATTACTTCCTTAATTTCAATCAAGGTCATTTTTTCGTCTCTTTAATTTCAATTTGAGCAACTTGACCATTCTGTTGACCTTTCAATAATTTGTTTTCCTCTTCTAATTGCTTAATTTTTTCTTCTAAACTATTTATCTTATCTGGCGAGTATGTCAAGGGCTTCAATTCCGCACAGGAGCGTGTTGTTGGGAGCATGTAATACAATAAGTATTGAGATATGTTCATATGCTTTTACATTAAAAAGATCTTTTGATTAGCAATGTGGCGAAGTTCTTCTGGAATCTGGCCACATATCTGCATCACTAAAATTTATGGAAGTGGATGATGTAAATGTAAAAAATTTTCGGTCTATTTTTTTTTTTCACTTGCACAAAGCAACCAACAGTGAAACTCAACATATTTTGTAGCAATGCTCATGGTCTAAGAATCAAATTTGGAATTATGTAGGCATGGAAATCCCGTCAATTGATATTATCTGCCTTTCCTATAAAAAGAGCAAAAAATTACGAGAATTATTCATCAAGATCAACCTCCTGTATCTTTGGTTAGACTTCTTCCATTATTTTTTAATGCAAAATGAAAAATAGCAATTTTTTATTATAATGAATGAATTAAACTGATATAAACTGCACCCAGCACGGCTAAATAACCCATCACGTTATTACGATAACTATTCGTCGTTCTCTTCCTGTAAAATTGATTCGCGAATTTTGATTAATGCTGTCAAAACTGAACGTCTTCCGGCCGGTTCAGCGAGATCGAAACCAGTCGTCAAACCATTCTTAGCCGGCCATCTTTGAACCTCAATTGACTGATTTTGCGGTAGACCGTTTTCGAGCTCTGTCCAATACCTTGCAGGAATCACAGCTTTATAAAACGTAACATACGTAGATATTGCACGAACGGCCCATAATATCTGATCTGAATATTCATCTTCAAGCAAACGCATATTCGTACTAGCACAAGCGAGAATCTCCGCGCTAATCAGTGTTTCCCCAAATTCAGTGGCTTTTCCGACATTTCTCAGGTGCTTATCCTATAAAAAAAGTTGTTTGAGTCAACAAGAATAATAACCTGTTCAAACGGCAAAAAACACAGACCTCTATCACAAGAACCAAAATGCTTCGCTTCTTTACTACAAATTCGGGGTCTGATGACACGTGAGGTTTGTCCCCAACGTATATTGCACACGATTCGTGATTTCTGGGTTGAGAGAATGCGAACTTTAGGAACACAACATAACCAAAGATTTTCCTACAAATGCTAACTTAATCTTCAGGGGCCAGGCATTCAACTCAACAATGCGGAGCAGATCATCCACTAACGAGTCGGTGTGAGTCTCACTTGTTCCTATTGCCTCAACTGAGTTCTCCGTGATATTGTGCAGTTTATCAATAAATGTTTTAACCTCGCGATCCGAAATGCCCTCAAGGTTGTCAACATCAAAATCTGGCAATCTAAGCAAACGTCTGCTAATCCCAACGAGAACATACTTTTCCGGAATGTTGGTAACTAAACAATATTTAAGTTGTCAACATGAGATTCGCTGAGAGGATTGCTAATACAATGTATTCCGTACCTTCAAGATTGGGTATAACAACACTCTCAGCTGGAGCTGGTTTGAAGCTCACTCTCATCGCCTCCACGTCGCGCTTTTTGAACCCATATGCCGAAGAGGGAAGGTCGTCTAAGTCATAACTAGAACTGGAACTGAGCCTAAGATTACTGGTGGCCTCCGTGATAGCTGAGTATCCTCTGGCAAGGCGTTTAGGCTGTTGGCGAGTGGCAGAAGAGTTCGCACTTTCGTTTTCGACGTTTTTTCGTTTCTTTGAAAACATTACTGCATTAGTAACACAATACGACGAAAAAAGCTATGTGATATATGAGAAAGAAAGATTTTTACAAGATACACATCACGAGGTAATTTGTAGGTCACACGTTTACATCATGCATGAAAAGTTTCTGTGATATATGTATTAGTATTTATTACGAAGTAATGGCCTGATCGAACATCTGTGTTACGCAATCGATTTTTTCAGGCATGTGATTTTATTCAGAAATTTTGACATGACCCTCGATTTTATTCTGTGGTATAATATGTGATATGTTGATCGATTATCTGTATTATGCCATTCTGCGTGGTAATAAGGGGTATTTTCATCATTACGAGATATGCAAATCAAGAATTATCACAAGAGACTAAGCTAATTCATCGCTGTTTTGTGAAATTAATGCCAATCTTTGCTTTTCAGCTGAAACCGTCTACGATTTCCTGTAAATATTGAGCGATTCCGAGCTGAAGTAATTAATGATCACCAAATCCGAAATTAGCTTTCATAACATCTGAAATTGGTTTTGTTAGTCGCAAGGAGTGTGGTATATAAAAAATGAGTTAAGGATATGGAAAACTTATCTGGTTATATACCTCGCTATGTCTGCTAATATCTTATCTCTCGAATCCCTTGCATTAAATATTCTAAAAAATTTATCCCTAGAAAAAATTGCAGAAGGCGTTAATGTTTCGGAACTAGACCCATGCTCGTTATGCAACCAAGAACTTTTTTTGTATGAACTAGGATATATATTTTGGGGGCTTTGCCCCTTTTGTAACTGATTGATGTAATTAGTGTATGTATTATGCTATGAGATATCGACATAAATTGTTTTGTGGGCAACAACAGGTGATTTATATTGTGGTAATAGAAGTGAATTGTATAGTTATTTGGTATAATATAATTTTTTATTCGTAGATGTACAACAGATACAATTAGTTACAAAGTCTATATTGTAGTTAAGAATAAGGAGGGACTTGTGTAGAAAAGGATGAAAATTTATTTTAAATTACTTTTGATCTTCAAAAGTTGGAAGATTTAAGTTGGTTGATGCCAAGTCAGAAATCTTTTTGTTCGCATTGGAAGAGCGTAGTTCCCATTTTACTGATTTTTTGGAAGGTTGGTCAACAGTTTCGATACATTCTGTCGAATGTGTAGAGTCAGTTTCCGACTGATTATTATCATCAGTGAAAGACGTACAGTATGGGAAGAAAAACTTGCCCTCTATATACATGTAACAAAATCTCGCATAGCTTGCCAAATTTAACAAATGTCGCGTAAACAAAAAAATTTATTATAAATATCACCTCCTACACTCCCGTGGCAAAAGTCACTGACCACCCCCTATATTTGCAATCAAATGAGAATATTGGCACAACGAGCAATGCAATCATCGCAAAATTAATACTGAATTTAGCGCACCTTCTAGATAGTATGTACACAAAAAATTGCAATATGTTAGGTAGTAAAG